TTGTACTACTCATAATTAGATATTTAGAACTTAGATATTTAAATATTTTAGACAAATATATCAAGATATTTTGGTAGTACTACTCATGATGATAATGGTAATCATAAATTTATTGTGTGCAATAATAAGTTAACATAGTTCAATTAGGTTTATTTTTAAAAAGTGTTTGAAAAATGTTTTAAATATATATTATTAATTAACGCTTCATTACACATTTCTTTCCTGAAAGAAGCAGTTAATAATTCGTTGATTGATCAATATTGCATATCTGTTTTTGTTTTCATGAAAAACCACTTTCAAGATATCAATATGTAATACAACAAGCATTGTTAATTTCCTACCACTTTGTTTGTAACTCCATATTGTTTGTATTGTTCTTCTGCTATTTTGTAAATAGTTGTCTGTTTGTTAATGTTTTCCTTCTTTTATTTTTAAAATTAATTTTAAAAAATAAAGAAAATAAAGCTAATTGGCAGACCAAAGGAGAAAAATGGGGGAGAAAAGAAAGGAAATATGTAAGACAGGAAGGGAGCGAAGCAATGCTTAAGGGAAATTAAAAGGACAAACGAGACGAACTGTATTCAGAAAAAATTTCTATGTAAAACAATTAAAAAGTAGCACAGATCTATTTGTTAGGAATAAAGTATTATCTTTAGTTCATTCACAGCACTGATAAAACTGATTCACATCATGTGATCTGATTCATACAAGAAATGACCAAAATTCTATGTGACCTTGAAAAGTGCATGGTTTTGTCCTACATTATGAAGAATAGCTTTCTTCCACGTTGTTAAACCTTGAGGACTATTATTGAACAATATCCTTGGCTCCAAAAATGTGACTGTGCTGCTGCCAACCTTGTAATGAGAGGAAGAAAAGGAAAATGAAATAAGAGCAATAAAATAGTTTAGTAACATTTTTCACAAAAAAGAAATGCTTTAATTGTACATATACTAACTGAACATATAATTACTGAAAGACACATGATACTTTCCTCTATAATTCATTCAATATGTTTAACATACAAAATGAATGCCACGTCATGTTATTACATTCCCATTTTGATTAAAAAATACTCAAGGTATTATATTACTTTCTTAAATTACACTGAATCTGTAACAATCCAGTTAAAATAGAGTGAAAATGTCATAGGAAAAATTTTATTTAGGTAACTTGA